CGCGCAGACCGGGACACTCGAGAAGAATGCTGGTTTGTGACGGGAGGTATTTTTTGCGCGAATCTGCTGATCAGTAGATACACCGGACGGAACAGACACTGAAAAACGCGAAAGCTTGTCAGCGGGATGGGATTGTTTTGTTTGACCAGGACGAGGAGGGGAGGCATAGGTATGTGAAATATTACGGGAAATACGGTCAGTCACGCACCTTATCGTCTTCCTTGGCGCGGAACTCGACGAACGCCGCGTGAACTTCCTGGTCGACGGTACGACCCATGTTCACGACGAAAGGAGTGAAGAAATCGATGGTGAAAGGACGACGACAAGAAGAAGAGAGGAGGAGACCGACAGTCGATGAAGATATGAGATGGCTCCGGGCGCGAGAGCCTTCAGGAGAGGATGGGGGGGAAAGTAACGAGAAAAGGGAGTCGAGGAAAGAAAGAGGTGAAAAGGGAAGAAAAGGGTGGAAAGAGTGGAAAGGGAGAAAAACGGAGACGAGACGAAACGAGACAAGACGGAACGAGACCGTAAAGATGTTCCGTACCCGGTATTACAAATCATCGCTCTCCAATCACATCACAGAAGGCGGTGGTGGAGGTACCGATACCGGCTGACGAGTACCCGTCCATACAGTACCCGCCGAGAGGTACCGCCCACAAAGGTACCTCAGGTACACCGATCCCGCATTCTCCCATCGCGTCTCGTTTCACTTTTTTTCCATACCTCAGTTACTTCTATGATAATCTTCCTACAAGTCTGTCTCTTCATATCTGAATCTATAGATATTGAGAACATTAGAATATACTCAGAATATCCCCATTAGTAGAGTCAATGGTCTCGCGTGAATGCCCCTCAGACCACCTTAGAGTGGGCACCGCCACCACCTATTCGCGTCCTGCTTGCTTCCAACACGAGTCAGGGGACTCGGACAGACACAATCTGATCTCGCTGGGGAAATGAATAGAACAGGATCTATCTGTTTATACTGACGCTCATATCAATCGAACCGGGTCCATCTATCTACTCAGTAGGTTTAAATGCGTATTACTGCCAGTGGTACCAGTATGGATACGTGGTATGGCCCTAACCCTCAACCCGGTGTTTTTACGCCTAAAATGACCGTGACTGGCTTTACATCACATCACATCACCCAACAACCCTCTATTTGAGATCCAAGTGAATGCAAAGTCAATGCTGCCTTGAGATTGGAGACCAGCCGATCATAGTCGTGAAGCAGTCTTCATGTGAAGCTACCTACGCGTCCAGAGTCCCGTTAACCATCCATATTGTGATCGATGGAAGGATTTCGATATCGAGATACAAATTCGCGGCCAGATGGAGATGACGTATGATCAAGCTAATCAGGACGCTGTACTCATTACAGTTGGTAGATCACTTGGGGATAATGACTCCGGAGTCCAAATCGCCACGTGAAATCCTAGTCTGCTGCAGCGGCCAATCAATTTCCATGCTTACGGCAAAGAACAGTACCTAGTATGTATTGAGAGCTATTGGTATATCGTAAAGTATTGCAGTAGAAATCAACAACTGAGGTAGACTCGGACAGGAAACGAACTCAGCGGAACCCGAGATAAATCGAATGAAATAAGACGAGATGAAACCACTACCGTCTACACCCTATGCGCGGCTTTACACCTCCGCCAAGCGCACAAAGATCTCCCCATATTCATACCGAACGCCATCCTCATTGCTGAGGTCCTCATACGCGTCTTGCCGCACCGTAAGAAATCCCTTCGTTGCCAGCGCCAATATATGCATCAGGCCATGGGTAGCCACCGCACGGGACGTATCCTTCGGCGGGAGAAGATCCCAGAAAGAGGTCTCCTTGGACCGAGCAAGCGCGTGAATGGGAGGAACCCCAGTCAAGGGATCATTGGTGTCTTCGGCGATGTTATCTTCAGCGGCCGGAAGCTTGTCAATCAAGAACCGCAAGAAATTCTGGCTGTCCTGGTCTAGAGTCGCGTTTTCGAGCTTCTTCGCCAGAGCAGCCGACCCCTTCCACCCAGCTGCGCCTCCCTCTGGGGCTGTAGCTCTCTCGCCGCCACAGTCGTCCACGTACAGCCCCGTCTGAAGATACTGGTTCAGACCGAAATCGCCCAGCACGTCGATATCATCGCCTTGGGCGCCTGGAATGGCGAGACTATCCAGGCCCTCGACGTCGAAGGGGAACCCGCGGCCGGCCAGTGGACTCGCGCTGGTGAGACGGCTCCGTGGGCGCCCCAAGCCCGCCGAGTCCGGCATGCCCCACGAGGAGCTACCAACTCCACGGAAGAGATTCGCGGCGGAAGATCCGTGGCGGGAGCTCTGCACGGAGGCAGTGATGTTCCAGGGCATCTGGGAGGAGTCGTCCCGCAGGGCGGACGATGCATGGCGACCGAACTCGACCTCCTACCACGCGGATATTAGCGCCTCCCGAAGAAGTCGATGAGAACGGCAGACAGGAAAGGAGCGAATGCATACCTCACTCCAGACATCATTCTTCTGCAGACCGTCCCCACGACCAATCTGCTCCTCAACCTCCTCTCGCGCACGCACGCGCCGTCCCTCAGAACCAGACTCAGTGTCGCTGTAGCCCTCCGCATCACGACCGCGCTTGCATCCGTTCTGCCTGTTCTTACCCTCCGGACGGACCAGGTTAATCAACTCCTGTCCGGAGAACCCAACAAGAGGATGCGCCACCCGCGAAGCGCCAACACCCACGCCCACCGCGCCGATGCCCCGTCCAAACACCCAGAAGGCCGCATTCTTCTTCGCCTGTGTCTGTCGTCGGTTCTGCTTCTTCTGTCGAGACGCGGTGGCCATGTTCTGCACGTACTCGCCGTTCATCTGTGCAAGCTCTGAATTCCGCAGCGCGGTTTGCTCGTCAAACACCACGACGGTTTTGTGCTTCCTGCGCCTTTGCGGGACAGTTGCGCTGCGCTCGGCTACATTCGCGGCTGGGGACTTGTCCGAGGCGTCTTTGCTCGCGGGTCGAGAGTGAGGCGTGGGTGTGTTTTCTCGGGATCCAGGAGGCATGTCGTCGATGGGCATTTCCTGCCGTCCGCACTGAGCAACTCATCTCTGCAGGCGTATCCGGCTGGAAGCAAATGAAGACGTACCTGATACTCCAGCGTGAGTTCATCACTCTCCCGCGCAACAAGTGGCGTCTCAAAGCGCGGCAGAAACGTCCTCCGGTGGCCACTAAACTCGATGATATTCCCATCCTCGTCGAACTCGAAATCCGGCTGCAACAGCACACCCTCCTCTTCTTCCTCATGCAGCGCAGAAGTATCAAGACGGTTGAAGTCAAAGTGCACCGAGCTGGGCTCGGAACCCCCGACGTCCGCCATGACGATGTCCTCTGCTCCAGACCCGAAGCTAAGTTGGAGACTTGGGTTCTGCGAGAGGACCGATTGGCTCAGGTCTGGGGTTACGGGCCACGCAAATTCAGTAGAAGTGGGTTCTGCGAGAAGAGTGAGTTTGGCGAGATCGATGTCCAGGCCCGGGAGGTCGTTTTCGGGGGTGAAGGACGGATCGTAGGGGAGGATGAGCTGGTCTGGGCTGTGGTTCGTGTTAGATCAGAACTTAGAGTGACAGAACGAGGGAGAGGAAGAGGGGAGGCCACTGACCGGATCTTCCCTGCCATCGGGTCGAGCGCGCCCCCGGGCAGGATACGCAGCATGGTCTTCATGCGGTCGTGCATGGATTGCACGTCGGTGAGCGTGTATCCACATTGCTGGCTGTAGACGCGCGAGACGCCGTACCTGCGGAGGGGGAGAGTAAGTGGGGAGTTGTTCCTTGGCTGGATATCAAGTCGGGGCTCACGTACAGGAGGTTTCCCTGGAGGCGGAGGGCCATGGGAGCCTGCGGATCCATAATCACATTGCAAGCTTTGGGAACGTCCACGTCCAGTATGGTCTTCCTGTTGAGGCGGCGTGTGATGGATCTTGATCCGAGGGTTGCGACGAGCCTGTTCGCTGTCCTTAGCCTAGTGTTGACGGAGAGGAGATGAGGGAGACATACCATATAGTCGCGACCCCGTGTTCGGGAGACGTGAGGACTGGGCGCGAGATTTAGCGAGGCTCACGCTGGGCGTCATAGTGTCAGACGTGTTGGACTGGCTGGGAGACTTACTGTCGTGGCTGTAGAACATCGCTGACGCGTTGCTATGCCAGCTCAGGGCATATCGAGATGTTGTAGTGGGTTGTTCTTGTATCACAGCTCGTGTCTAGCGAGCAGAGGTGCAGAGATGCGTCGATGGGTTCTCCAGTTCAGGGAGAGTTGAGGAAGAAGATCGGACGTGAAGGGTCTAGGTATGGGCACAATGGGGTAGTCTCGAATCCTCTGGGAGCTTGGTGGGAGGTGTTGATGAGCAAGCGTCCCCGATCCGACTTGGATAAGGCAGGGAAGAGAAATGAAGTTGGGAAAGTCAACGTTGTATGCGTTTGGTGCAGAGAATTTCCAAGTGGCAGACAAGTTGAGAGGCAAACCGCAGCCTTCGTCATCCTCCATACTTGCATGTCTACAAAGCCCTAAAATGGAAGAACAAAACCATCAATCAATTTAACGAGGACGCATCTATATACTGTACATCCCCTGTTCCGCTACGAAACTAGAACAAAAGGCTCAAGAACATATCAGAAAAAAATGAAAGGAAGAACCGAACTTTTCACCTCCTCGACCATCGTCACCAGCGCCAACAATGCCTTCGGGATAGAGATCTTTCACTAAATTCAGGGTACAGACCGGATACGGGACAAGCGCAACGGAAAATGACTAGGGTTCTATTCGAAGAAGGAAAACCAGCAAAGAAAGAGATAAAGAAAAACAATAATCAAGTTTACTATGGGAGGCACATCTGGAGACACAACCCGTACGGACATCTCCAACCCATAGCAACCAAGAGCACGCGGGGTATGAGACAGGACAGGACACGACAACTGATGTTTCCTCATTCAAAACAAAGATAGTCCGTGTTCGACGGACTCGGCTTTCCTATACCTACCGACCCTTCCACTATATCCAAGTTATATCGACAGTCATCAAACGTAGATCTATTCAAGGGGGATACCCTCATACTCGCCGTAGCCGAGGGCAAGGTTCATATTTTCTAGAGGATGTAAGTGTTTGGATCAACGGGAAACCGAGGATTAAAAACTTACGGAGACACTGGGTGGCCGCACCCTTGAGCAGGTTGTCAATGGTGGCACACACAACGACCCGCTTGCCGCTGGAGTGGACGGCAAAGCCGCCGACCTCCACGCCGTGACGGCCGGCGATGGCCTTGACAGAGGGGGCCTCTCCCACAATCTTCACAAGTCTCTCGCCGGCGTAGCGGTCCTGGTAGATGTTGCGAATATCACGAGAGGACAGTTCCTCCTTGAGAGGAATGCTGATGCTTTGCTAGAGGGGGGTTAGAGTATGTCAGAAGGCAATATGGAGAGGAGCACATACATGGATGCCCTGGAACCAGACAGCCACATGAGGAATGAAGGCAATGCTGGTGCCAAGCTGGGAGCTGATCTCCTTCTCGTGAATGTGATCAGTCAAGCTGTAGGGAATGATGTTGTTGGTCAGGTTCTCCACGTCGTTCTTGGGGCTGGGCTTGGTGCCGGCACCGGAGTATCCAGAGACACCAAAGACAGTAGGCTGGCCACCGAGATAAGGGACAAGAGGGGCAATGCCGATCTGGGCCGCGGTGGCGTAGCAACCAGGGTTGGCGATGCGGGTGGCCTGAGCGATCTTGGAGCGGTTCACAAGCTCAGGGAGACCATAGGTCCACTTGGGGTCGAAACGGTAGTCGGCGCTCAGGTCGACAATCACGTTGCCCTTGTCAGCGCCCTGGTCGACAGCATCCACAAAAGGCTTGCAGACACCGTTGGGCAGGGCCATGACCCAGCAGTCCACATCACCGTTCTCAGACATGCGCTTAACGTCCTCCGGGCTGAGGTTTTCGTAGATGATCTCACGCTTGTCGTAACCCTGGAGCTTCTTACCAGCCAGCTCGCGAGACGAGACATGACGCAGGTCCATGTGAGGGTGAGCATTGAGCAGGTTGATCAGAGCCTGGCCGGTATAACCGCGAGCACCAATGAGCGCAACCTTGGACGGGCGGTTGTTGGACATGTTCTTCTCTCCCAGAGGAGGGTTGGGGTTGGTGGTGGCATAGGTGCGGACGGTGGTCACAGGGACCGTGGGACGGACGGCGCGGGCAGACCGGAGGGCGTTGGTGGTGGTCGAGAAAGTGCGCTTCTGCTCGGTGGAAGCACCGCTGGCACCGAAGCCCTTGCCGATGTTGGCGGCGGCCTGGGCGGCGCGGTGTAGGCGGGACTCCAGGTTGATGTCACCGAACATCTCCCGGCCGTGCTTGTTGAATTCCTGAACCAACTGCTTGACTTCCTCGCCATTCTCAATGCCGTACCAGAAGAGAACCTCTCCCTCGCGGCTGAGACTGCCATCAGCCTTGTCGAAGAACCAAGTCAGGTTCTCATCATCCTCCTTGACAGTCCACACGAGTTTGGGGAAATCCTTCTTGATCGACGCGAACACATTGTCGGCAACATTGGAGAGCCATCCAGACTTGGTGATGGTGAAAGTAGCAAGGTGAGCCAAGGGGGCAGAGGCATCCTTCTGCGGGGGGAGCACCACGGCCAGAGCCTCCATAGGCTCATCGTAGTAGACCTTGAAGTCTCGCTCCTTCAACCCCTCCACATAGCGGTCGACGGTGGCGCGCGCGTCCAGACCCTCGCGGTCACGGACAAGCACTTCCTTCAGCTTGTCCAGATCCTCGAACTCGGAGAGAGAGGTCTTGGTGTGGACCTTGTTGCCACGGCGGATGAGGGTACCCGCACCGGAGTCAGTGAACAGCTCCTTCTGCAGATCGGCGGGGTGAATAATGGCCACGCTGGAGGTGCGAGGGAGATCGCTGAGAAGCTCCTTCATCTCCTTGATCTTCAGACGGGTTCCGTGACGCACCCACCACTGGGTCATCAGGTGATCATACTCCTCGTCGAGGTTGATAGCGGAGATCTTCTCACCGGTGTCTCCGTTGAACAGACCGCCCTTTTCGGCAAGGTAGACGATCTTGAGGGGCTGGAGAGCGCGGGCCAATTCACCGGCTGCGACATCGGCGTTCACGTTGAGAACCTGGCCATCGGGGGTCTCGGCCATGGAGGTCAGGATGGGCAGACAGCCAGCCTGGATGGCAGACTCGATGGGCTTCTTGTTGACACCATTGATCTTGCCCACCAGGTTGTACCTCTCCTTGTCCAGATAGTCGGCGGAGAAAACACCGGCGGTCAGAGGGCGGGCGCGCACTCCCATGCGCTCCAGCTCCTCGATTAACTTGAGGTTCTCCTCCAGAAACAGCTTCCGGGCCAGCGCCAGGGTCTTACCGTCAGTGACACGGATTCCATCCTCGAATTGGGGCTCCACACCAGCAGCCTCCAGCATACGATTCAACTGAGGACCGGCACCGTGGACGACAATGGGATAGAGGCCGACATGGTTCAGGAAGGCGAGGGCGGACGAGAGGGTCTGCAGGTGTTCGGTGATAATTGCTCCACCGACCTTGATGACTGCGAATTGCTGGGAGGAAACGGAGGTGAAGTGAGAGAGATACTGCTGAACCTCCCGCTTAGAGCCGATGTTGCTCAACAGCTGGACGACGGTCGAACGGGTGGAGGAGAAGTTGGGATCGGCGGCTCGCGAATAGGAACGTCCCTGGAGCAAGGGAACGGCGGAGGCCTTGAGGGAGCGACGAGCGAGAGGGGAGGCCAATCTCGCCGAGGTGATGGAGTGCGGTGCGGAGAGGAGGGGTCTGGCGGTCGAAGCTCTCCGCACGGCGGTGCGAAGGGAGAACATCTTGTCGACCAGCATGCGGCAGCTGGCGAACGGAGGAGGAGAAAGGAGGACAACCAGAAGAGCGGAGAGGGTGGAGGGATGGGAAATGGGAGGGAAGCGAAGAGCGGTTGCGGAGAGGAAGAGAGAGGGAGAAAGGATAGGCGGTCTCGGCCGCGGTGAGGGCTTAAAAATTGCAGAACACGAAAAATCGGCCGGAAAGGAAAGGGCGCATGTGGGTCCGGCAATCGATATTCTTCTTTATTCTGGCTTTGAATATGAGGTAAATTCCGGAGTATTACTGTTGTCCTCGCGATTCTATAATTTGAACGGAATTGAATTCATTCGTTCATTATTCTCTCATATATCAGCCCTTATACTCGTTGTGTTCCTTCGACGTCCGGATAAGAAAAACCAACATATAGTCTTGGCATTCGGACCTTGTTCGGTGACTCAACCCAACCGCCATAACTACTCCGTACTCGCTCCCTCCCACTCACGTAATAGATTCATGAAATAACAGTCGATCGTCTCCTCGTCTATAGGTCCTCGTGGGTTATCAGATCTCGCTTCGGTGCTCGCCCACGAATGACTGGGCGTGGTGGTCCCCGTCGACCCCATTAGATGGAGCCCACAGTGCCTTCTCGTTATCTGATCCTACCAGCCCGGCTAATGAGATCCATCCTCCCACTTTGATCCACACTCATCGTTCCCTTATGGGTTTCAACCTACGTACGGAGTAGGTAGGTCCTACAGAGTAATTAGCTTGCTACGCATTTCGGAGTACTGAACTGTCGGTTAGTACGCCAAGTCCGTCTTTCAACCGAGTCCAATTGAGACGTTCTTGTACTCAGTGTGTAGTTGTTCGGTCCTTCAAAGCCGGCCTTCCTTGCGTCAATACTCATGCATGGATACTGCAATTAGCCTTTAACTACTGAAGCCTTTTACGCCAATAAGCCCACTCCCGATCCATTCCATGCAATGGTACGTACCATCAAATCACATTGAAACAAGCAAGAGCATACTCAAACACGAAGCACCAGAGTATCATTTACATCTTCACCATCAATGGATCATGCGACATGGCCTCGTCCAGGGAAACAACAGGTCAAAACGGCATACAGAGACAAGGCTTTATTCGTGAGAACCAAGTGGAGGGGTGGACGCCAGAGAACAAGAAACGCAGGAAGGTATTAGAGGCTGAAAACATAACGCGGTCCCATCTCAACAGAGAAACCCAACAACATCCCATTCCCAAGACAAACATCGCTGCATTCGTAGGGTTCATCGCTTAACGCGTAGTGGTGACAACTAGCCGGGTTAGTTTTGTTCTCGTCTCATCCGTCTCGCAGGGAACAGGGGGAACGTACCAGCAGGAACGATAATCACAACAAGGAGTAGGATAATACAGATGATCAGGCACACGCGCATCTTCATATCCTTCCACCACATCTGCTTGCGCACCCGGTTGGCGCCCCGACGGAACCCCTGGGCCGACACCGCCAGGTTGTCGGTTTTATCCTGCAGGGAGTCTAGACGTTCACCACGCTCCGACACCTTGAAGATATTCGACCGCATCGTGTCGACGGTCTCCTGGATTTTCTGTACAAGACCGACATATTAGCCAGGTTCCCCAACGGCTGCTCCACCATCGCCGCACAAGTGTAACCCCGTGGTGGTCAGGGGCGATGCAGATGCACCCCACCCGCAAGATACTGGGACTGGAGAGAGAATCAAACGTTGGGTGAAATCCACCAACTTAGGCTTCTCCCCGCCCAGTATGCTCTGCAGATCATGCGCGAGAGCAATAGGAAGTCCACTTACTTTGTCGATTTCGCGCGTCCGGGGGTCACCATTCTGCTGCGCGGTGCTGGCGCCAGCACCGTTGGAACCCGAGGGGATATAAGGGTCGTAGGGCTGCTCCGACATGTTGGATGTAGTATGCGATAGAAGTCGTGATAGTCAAGGATCGAATCGTAGGATCTGGTGGGTCACCAGCCTGTCTAGCTAGGAAGTTGCGGATTGCCGGGTGACACTCGCAGGGGGGATCGAAAGGGGCGGAGGGCGACCGAAAGTAGCAGGGGAGAGATAACGGGAGATCGTAGAAGGAATCTACCACGACAGACGGACGGGGGAGGATGGAGTTGGAGGGAGAGAAGAAGCGATGGAGGAGAGAAGCTGACAAGGTGTGATGTTTCCCGCCGCTGGAATTAACTGGGCGTTTCGGTTCGGTCGGGGAAGGAACACGTGACTACCTAGCCACCATATTGTCCATCAATAGGCAGCAAGCACCTAATTGAAGCAATTTCTCGGAACAGATTATTGCCTCCTTTATTTCCTTTGAGTGGAATTGAAGGACCCTATATGGACTGAAGCACTGACGATTCTAGCGACACTATTGAACCATTGATGCCGCTGTGGTCGGATCTAGAAGGTCTATTGCTTCAACTATAATAAGGCAACGAAGCAGCTCAGAGGCACCACCCTACCGCCCTTCTACCCAACCCATACGGATGATTGCCCAGACAACCGCCACTTCTCTTTTAGAGGCGGTGCAGACCACAGCACATCCTTCACGTGGCGATTCTGCTGTCGAAAGTCTGGAAGCTGATCAGCCGATAGGCCGGAGTGGATGCCGTCCCAGCAGCGTGTTTCCCCTTTGGGTCTAGCGGACAAGCCATTTCTATGTGTGGTTTAGCGCTACTTTTATTCTTTAATTAGAAGTGCGAATGCTACGGACAGGGATGTGCTCTGATGAAGTTGAAGTATCACAGAAATACGTACTTCGTCCTGGTGAAGAGATGATCAGATAAAAGCCAGGAGTTATTATCTGCAGTCCTAGAAAATGCGGTGTCTGCGACAAATTTCAACACCAAGCACCATTATCTGAAGCCAATTTTCAATAATTGTCCTTCTGGGCATTTTAGTGCCATGTAGGCTCTCACGTACTCCATATCCGTTGTCATCTGGGGATGCCAAAGACACAGACGGGACACTTGCTTGCATGTGTCCATGCATCTGGCCGTGATGGCAGATGGTGTTCTTGTAGGGGGCTTGGATAGGTGAAGAGACTCCGGCTTGCCAGACTTGCCCTTAAGTAAGTCAAAGACTCTATACGGCCCAGGAAACTTCCGTTATATTGAGACCGACAAGATACTATTGGCTTTACCTACCTAACCTTGACCACAGTCGTCATCACTTAGATATCCATGGAACTAGGTCCTTCGAGTAAAGGAGGTATGTGATGGGACTTACAGGGGATATCTAGCATCTCAGATAGGTATGTAGGTACTATCACATCTAGATAGTTCGTATAGACAAATCCACCAACCGATCCACAAGGAAAGGCCAAAGAGGAATTAGATATCAGCGCTCAATAAAATCTGGTGTTAGCCATTGATGGCATTCTTTCCAAGACCTGACAATGACAGTATAGCAATTCACTTCGAAAGGTACGAGCTCATTCAGCTTTGCCATGCATACCTAGTACTTAAAGGGAAGTGCATCCCAGAATCTCCTTATTTTGCTTGCTCTATCCTCTTGCACCTGCCTCCTCTTTCTCCCCCCTACGCCCCCCACCGACTACTCGCCTTTGATCCAAGCGTCCAAACCTTCATCAAGATATGTCTATTCTTCTTTGACTGGTCTTGCCAGCATTCCTTATCAATGTGAGCCCTGCCCCTTTCTGGCATCGTCCTTTTCATTTTAGCCATCCTTCTGGAAGGGAATGGAAGAGGTCAACCATCTACACTGGCGTTGCGAGAAGAGACTCTGTCAACTAACAAGAACCCCCCAATGAAAGAGGTGAGTATTCCGCGTTACCAATTCATGACATCCAATTAATACACAAAAAGCAACGATCCACCAACTCTTTATGGACCAAAGATCGCTCCTTTCCTCAAAAGCACCACCACCACCAACGTGCATTTTTCTTCTCTTTTCGCAAAAAACTTCATTTCCGTCATCCTTGCCTTTTTCCAAGATCGTGGAATAGCAATCTGAGTGTTCCACTAAGACACCAGGGCCCGCGTTATCCCCGAGGGAGGAACAAGGCAGAATGGTCTCAGTTTTCTGGATTTCTTTAAAAAGAAGACGCCAGTTCGGGACCTCAAAAGCCAATGGACACAAAAAAGACGAAACCTCCTCTCTGAGGGCTGATGATTCTATGACCAGGGACGCGGCTTCAGAAATAGACGGCCAGCGGCCCTCTGGGAGCTCAACTGGAGAATTTACTAGTACCGTCGCTGCAACAGTTGGTGGTAAAAGCTCTCGAAAGAGGAGCTCATCTCGGATGAGGAGAGCAGCCGTATGGCCAAAAAAATTTCGTTATTCCGCCCTCAGACAAAGATAAGGCCTGGACCAAACAAGGACATACATGAGGCCGATTAGCACAACTTTCATTGCTTTGGATACCCTGATATCGATGCCAAATTCCCCGCCTCAACGCTGGGTGAACACAAGTAATCCTTGACAGCGCTATTTCCTGAAACAAAAACGTCTAGCGTCGGCTGTTGGGTAAAAACATGACTACCACCATTGCGGTTTTGGAATTCTTGTACAGATGTTCCAACTTTTGCCGAGGGCTTTCGTCCCTCATATAGGGCTGTTCCTTGGGAAAGGGATGGCTAAGATAGCGATATTAGTGATATATGTGAGCATTGCGCTTAGGGATGTCCTTTCCTCAATCTCCAGTGTCAATATTACTTTCTTCTCGACCGGGAATGGAACAACGTAACCATGTTATTTCTGCCCAAGAGGTTGATATCTGCTAATCAAAAGAGAGCATTCCACAAACATGTAGGTCTCATCAGTCTGCAAAACAATATGAGCAGGAAAGCCCCAGATGAAGTCTGCCGGACGCCGAAACCACGGTGGGACTGATTCCCAAAGCGGATGCCATATTGAAGCTGCCTGGCGCTACCGACACTTTCGTTCATCCAACCGATCCTTCCAAGAGTCCATCACGCATGGCCAAGGCCGCCCACCCTTCACTGCCTCCCTTGGTATCTGGCTGTGACTTGTTGGCGAGGAGATCGTCTCTGATGACCAGAAGACGTCCAGGAGATCCTATCTTCATCGCTTGCACCCATTCACTACTGTAGGAAAAGCTATTATGTTGACCCAGCTGGCGCTCTCCAGGTTTCTATCACCGCCGCTCTTATCCGTCTCCCGGCGCTTCCGCTTCCAGATCCCGGCCAAGACCCATTCTGTGTCTTGGCAAGTGCTGTGTTTGATTCCTTGAAGCCCAAGACTGCCGAAGAGATTGGATAATGGCCGATGTGTAGGACCAGGTCCATGCCGGCGAACTTGGCGGCTTTCACCAAGGGCTTATGCGCCCTTGGGTTCCAGTTGCGGCTTCGTTGTCGAGGAGTACCCGGGGTGTTCTTTTTTAACGGGTCTCCCTTAATAACGAGACATTGCCTACCTATCTCTTGAACATTTGCTGTTGTGGCTGTTTTTGACGATTCTGATCATGAAGGCTTAAGAGGACTGCAGGTCTCTCCATCTCGTTTGGCTTCTACTGTCTTACACTCGTTTATTTCATTTGACTTGCTCATTGCTTCGATTAATATTACTGTTTCGTTTTGGAAGGTACACTTGCAAGCACGCTTGGGGCGGCACTCGTTCGTTTCAACTGCCCATCGAGGCGTCCTTGACCTGACAGTCCTTCCGCCGGTCCTAAGCAAATAATGCATTTCCGACTCCAATATTGAATATAATTACCGTCTGTCACTAATTACAATACACCATGAAGCTCAAATTCTCCATACACAACTCCCCAGTGAGCTTCTGGAGCTCTATCATATGCATGACGACTCTAAGCTTTCAGCTTGCACATGCCTCCATATCCCTAGACCTAGAAAGCAAAGGTACGCCTCCGCGATAAGCGAGCACAGTCAATAATAGCTCACTGTCGCAGAATCCCTCAAGAAAGCGGCCGAAACCGCCGCCGCCGGGATGCTCCAGTACTACACGGGTTACCGACCCGGCGACGTCCCAGGCAATCTCCCCGACCCATATTATTGGTGGGAAGCTGGGGCCATGTTTGGCGCGCTGGTGGAATACTGGTACTATACGGGAGATTCGCAGTGGAACGACATCACCACCCAAGCCCTCCTCCACCAGGTCGGACCGGCAAACAACTACATGCCGCCGAATCAAACCACAACGCTGGGAAATGATGTACGTGCTTCTTCCTCTTGCTTTCTTACGCATCCGCATCTGACAGGAACAGGACCAAGCATTCTGGGGTCTTTCGGCTATGTCTGCCGCTGAAGTCAAGTATCCCAATCCTCCGGAGGACGGGCCGCAGTGGCTAGCTCTGGCACAGGCTGTGTACAACTCCCAGGTGCCGCGGTGGGACAACGCAACCTGCGGCGGCGGGTTACGCTGGCAAGTGTTTTCGTTTAACGACGGATACACGTATAAGAACACAGTATCAAATGGATGCTTCTTCAACCTCGCCTCGCGACTCGCGGTGTATACGGGAAATGAGTCCTATGCCGCGCGGGCTGAGACAACCTGGGATTGGACTGAAGGCATGGGATTGTTCAATAAGAAGTATCATTTCTTCGATGGGACAGATGTCCGGAACAACTGCTCCTCAATCAATCATATCCAGTGGACATATAATGCTGGGTTATATTTGCTGGGTGCAGCGCATATGTACCATTTTGTATGGCCCCCAACAAGTTATGAATCTACACGACGGACACTGATCCCGCACAGACAAACCAATCAGACCGTTGGCGCAGCCGGTTAGAAGGCATCATCGAAGGGCTGGAGGTATTTTTCGGAGAGGACAACGTGATGAGCGAGGCGGCCTGCGAGCCGCACGACACCTGCAACATCGACCAGCGCTCCTTCAAGGCGTACCTCTCCCGCTGGATGGCTCATACCGTCCAGATTGCGCCATTTACGTACGACTTGCTAATGCCGAAGCTGCGCGCCTCGGCGAAGGCGGCCGCCCTGCAGTGCAACGGGCCAAACAATGCATGCGGGCTGCGGTGGAGGCGCGGCGCAGAATATGACGGCAGCACAGGCGTCGGCGAGCAGATGGCCGCGCTGGAGGTCTTCCAGGGACAGCTCGTGGATTATGTCGAGAACCGGGTGACTGCGTCGACTGGAGGTATTAGCAAGGGGGATCCGAATGCCGGAGGGGATACCTCCGATGAGGATGCCGTGGGTATTGCACCAGGGCATATTGGAGTTGGAGATCGGGTGGGAGCAGGTATTTTGACGGCGATTGTGGTGATACTGGCTGCGGGTGGCGTGTATTTCATGGTGGTTTGATGTATAGGCTGGGTATGTACTGGGGAATGAACCTGTCTGATTTGTATACATCTATATATAGGCGTCGGCGAGGTCAATACTTTCACCCTATTCTTGGGAGTCTCATTCGGTCTTAACTGAAAGATAGGAATCTATAAAGGGTCCCAAACAGTGATTGCAGCTGACTTGCTGATACCAATCTATCTTCTTTTGGGAGAGGGGATCCTAGGAATATTCCATTATGAATCCGCTAGATTACACTGATGCGTGCCATTCTTCTCATAATGACATGAATCCACGCTTGGCTTAGGGCTCCGCACTCGGGGATTCCGTCCGCGTCCGTAGTGGTGTAAACATCGACCCCCTCGACACTTCCCCAAAGGAGCGAGTGATCGCGAACAGCCCATCCAAAGATGTTCGTCATATCTCGTTTATATCTCATCCGTTTCGGAACAGCTTGGGTTCTGAATGCCTGATACTGTCGAGGTACGCCTGAGAATGCTACTACACTAAACGCAGAAATATATAATATTGAGACATATAGTACAAGGTCATGGACTCATGCTCCGCAGGCAACTTCACCTGTAACTCCGTTTCTACCCATTCCATGCAAATCAAGCATCCCTCAAGTCAGGGTATAGCACAATGGCTCGAACATAAGCGGACGACGCTCGCCGTTACGTTCAAGCCCACGGCACCTATCCAGCACTCCCACCGGGTATAACTATTTCCCACCCAGAAGCTCCTTTCGCATCTCCTCTCGTTGCGCCCGCGCCTCATCCTTTGCCTGATTGCGCAGCGCCTCCGCCTCAGAGCGTTTCTGTTCCTGTTGTTCCTGCGCGGCGTACCAAACTAGCGACACATGTTAGACCACTCCCGTCCAGGGTAGACCTCGCAGAACGGCGTAACGTACTCGACTTATCAGACTTGGACCATTGCTTCAGACGATTGACGTAGTCGTCGAACTCCTGGGCGCGACGATCGCCTTCTTCCAGACTGCGCCGCTGGAGCTCGGGGTTGTAGCGTTTGAAGAGTTCCTCATCGGTGGGACGGATGGATTGCACAAAGGCTGGGCCGCCGACGCAGATGACGATGCCGCTGGGAGGGAGAAGTTAGGAACAGGTTGTGCGTATGCAGGTGGAATGGGCCTTACGCTCCCAGCATTTTGAGCCAGGTTCCCGCGCGAGACATTGTGGATTGGGTTCAGACGGAAGGAGGGCGTGGGAGGTGAATGATGTCAGTGAGACCCACGATGGGATTGGTAACGCAAGACGGAGGATGAGGCGTGATGTATGTAATGAAGATATTATTATTGGACTCGGTAGTATCGCATCACATCATCAGTTTCGGCGGAGGATCGGTGTGGCTGAGCATTTGGGGCGGAGGCGGGAAGCACTAGCCACAGCCACACCGTTGGATTTTTAGTTTTATTCACGGTTTCTTCACTGAGACACGGGTTTTCAATAGTTCCGGCTGTTAACACCCCTTAGTGCTCGGCCTAGTTAAACTAGAGCAAACACTAAAAGTAAAACAGCTCCATCGGAGACTGTCACTGGATCTCGGGAATTTGGGGAACTTCTTCCTTGTCTTCCATGCTGTGGTGTCTTAGACATGCTTGGACATGTTGTGCATTGGGCCCGGAATGATTGCCTTCGGGAACATGGTTTGTATACCTTGGGACTCGTGCGACGGGATCCATGGTAGGGGATCTGTTCGAGAAGTTGATGGATGATCGTCATATTTGAGACCCGCGACAGCGTGATCACACTTTGTACGAATACGAAATAAGTAGGAGTACACACAACCCACTTGTCGTGGGCTGATAAGCCAGCGACGGAATGTGAATAGGTCGTTCCCCTACCGTCTCAATCTACGCGCACTCCGGTCTAACTTCAACCCAAGTCCAGTCGAATCGCGAGAACCTATTGACCTCGAGGCCAGTTGTATCTTCAATGTGACACCACTGATGCGGCGCCTACAAGGGTCAGAGCGTGGGAGACGCGTGGATTTGTCTTTGCAGCGTTGTAATCCACACACGAAGTTTGCTGCATCGAGGGCCTGCCGGATGATTCGTAGAAAATGCCCAATTGGCTGGTTTCAAAGACACAGCTGAATGCATGGCTGCAGGCCAATGAGGGTCTGCACTGCAGCCCACCCCCTGCGTCTCAAACGGAGATTACGCTGGCCGGGAGATGCAGATTGGCATGGTGCCTCACTTGGGTCGTGGACGAAGCTGGGAGGTCCAACAAAGTTCCGGCGATGATGAATCAAATCCGTGCCTGCGTCGAGGGTGAGACCCGAGTGTATGTATCCTGTGCATGTGGGCGATGGTGGGTCATTGTTATGAGGGTCTGAATCATAACAGATCCATTTCCGACGTCATATTTCGGGGCGCCCTTCGGTTGAAGCGAGACCCTGGAGCTATTGGATACTATTGATGCTATGTATCCGGTGTCACCATAGATTTCCTGCTCCAGATACAGGACAAGCCGTGAATGAATTGGGCTTTCGACGCTGCAGATGGACCATGCTGATCTTCAGTTCTGCGTACACTATCAGCAGACAAGATTAGATTTATGAAGAAGTAAGGTCCAGAGAGAACGATATTAAAAATTGCAGCGGGACGGTGAGTGGGTCAAACTCCATACTGACCATTGTCAGACGGATCGTCCACTGCAAAGAAAACAACGCGAGAGAAAGTGCTGGAGGAAGGACATTGATGCGAGGATTCGTGCAGGCGAACTCATTAATATAACAATAATAGAATACAAAAGTAGAATGAAGGAAACAAAAGGACAGAAGAAGAAAAGAACAAAGGTAACGTTTTCCACAATCGAGCCGCGCCTACAACCGAGCCGCGCCCTTTCCACCAAAACTCCTACTTCCTAAATTCAACGCGTCTTTTCTCATCACCACAATTTAATATGCATCTTTCTAAAGAATCGCGCATTCAGATGGCTATTTCAGCTTATCAGAAAGGCCAGGTTAAATCAATTAAACGCGCTGTGGCCCTTTTTGCTGTCCCCGAAAGCACTGTACGCGACCGGCTTCATGGTGCCTAACATCACGGTCGCGAAACACGCGCCAATGGTCATAAATCTCGACCGAATTCGAAGAGGAATTACTTCTAAAGCGATCGTAATTAGATGCAGAATCACTGTCGAGCGATTTCCAGATTCCGACCCGAATTTCTACGTGGAATGGCCCAGGATTTCTACTTCGCAGTGGCTCCCAGGTTTCTAATGTCCCAGTCGTTTACATCGAACTCATTTACAGCAGCCTATCGCAACTTTCTGTCAATTATGACTTCCTTATAACTTCGTTCATCACCATCCTTACCGCCGTATGCGATATCGTATGGCGTATCACCGCTCAAAGCGCAAAGCAGAACCATCCAAAGGTTATAGGCCGGTGGTTTGAGACCGTACGAGCGACCTATTCCAAGAACACGGGCATTACATGAAGGACGATATCCTGGAATTTCCGACGAAACTGGCCTTTGCAAATGGGAAGTCTGCTCTACTTCAAAAGTGATTACTGCAGTAGAGCGAAGCGAGCGACCCGCGCAGAGTTATTCAGGGGCAATCGTGAATGGGTTACAATCATCGAAACAATCGGGTCAAGAGGCGTATATCTACCCGCCAGTCATTATATTAAAGGCAAGCGTTCAACAGGCTGCCTGGTTCCAAGAACCTAAGCTGCCTCGCGACTGGTGGATTTCTACTAGTCAGAATGGCTGGACGACTGATGAAATAGGCCTTCTCTGGCTGAAAAATGTCTTTGAACCGCTTTCTAAGCGCTATATGACTGGTGCAAAGCGCTTGCTTATTCTTGACGGCCATAGTAGTCATTTAACTGCTGAATTCGATGATTTCTGCAAGCAGAATGCAATAATATGTCTCTGCATGCCTGCCCATACTTCACATCTTCTTCAACCGCTTGATGTGGGCGTTTTTGGCCCGCTTAAAGAGGCGTACGGAAAGCTCCTTGAAGACCTTATGGCTGCTGGCAACAACCATATTAATAAAGAAGACTTCCTATCGCTATATCCGGACGCCCACAAGCAAATCTTTACTTCGGCCAATATCTGCAGCGGCTTTAGAGGAGCAGGGCTTAAGCCGCTTGATCCAGAGCATGTTCTTTCCAAGCTTACCTTTCAACTGCGTACGCCTACACCACCACTAGTTGAAGGCTCAGTTTCCTCTGCTTTTCAGACTCCGCAGAATACTCGCCAGCTGAATCGAAAGGTTCGAAGCCTGCAGAATAGCCTTAATAGAAAGCGGCAGCTTTCTAGCAGTCCTATTGCGCATATTCAACATCTGGAGAAAGCAGCGCAAATGGCGATGCAAACTACCCTTCTTTTGCAGCAAGAAATTAGGGCTATACGCGCTGAAAATGGACGACAACGTCAAAAAAAAGCAAGAAGACGTGCTGAGATAGGTAATGACCGCCTTCTTAATGTGCAGGAAGGTGAAAATCGCGTTCAGCAGCTTGATACGCAGCTTAATGAGCAGCCTGCGGAATCTACTCTAGCGCCTCGTCGACGAGCTCCGCAGCGCTGTAGTGGGTGTGGAACAATCGGACATACAATTCGAAATTGCCCTAGTAGATGGCTATAATTTCATGTATTTAGTTAGTTAGATTTAATGGCGTTGGTGGTTGAAAAGCCTTAGGAAATAGGAGTTTTGGTGGAAAGGGCGCGGCTCGGTTGTAGGCGCGGCTCGATTGTGGAAAACGTTAACTAATATGTTTACATAAGCAACCCCCTCTTTGTTTGGGCACGCCTATTGGACCATCCCGTCAGGTACCAGCGGTGGAAGGGCCCTCCCAAATTCTACCTGACCAAACATAGCCGGTACTTCCATTGATTGATTGTCATTCTCATTTTATTAATACCACACTCGATCCTCTTCTGTCCTCTTTCTTTCTCTTTCGTCAACATCAGGGAGTCTTCTCCGTTCGGTCTTTATTTCCACCCCCTCCACCCCTTATCGAAGCTTCTCCTTCATTCCTTCGGAGTCGCTTCTTGTCCTCGTGTGCGCTTTTTGTTTAGGGGGGTGAGTTGTCGTGTGGACCGCCTGGCGCATTGGCGGTCCGATCGCGCTTCGGACTGGCGCCTATCCAGTACCTGTCCGCTGACTGGAGTCTAGGTCCGACAAAATTGTTCTGAAGTCGAGGGGCCAACATACTTAGGAGGGTCTCGATCGCAACTTTGAGTTGGCTGTCATTCTTGCGCGGTTCTAGTTCCCCAGTAAGCTCACCTTCTGGTATGCGCCCGCTCTGAGTGTCCTTCCAGCCTCGCGGATTTTCCCTGACGGATGAATGGTTATAAATAGGGACAAGGAGGTCTGATTTGGTCCCTCGCGAGATATTAATCTGGTCGCGTGAGCCGGATATCCCACTTTACTATTTGACGACTGTTCTCTACGACCCTGAATATGGCATACCCACAGCGCCCAGCGCAGCGACCCCCTCCCATGAGGAACTATGGACCTCGTGCGCCCCCCTCAGGGGGGCCGCCGCAGGATGGATACTACGACCAGGCGTATTATGACCAGGGATACGACTACCAGTACGCGGACGCCGGTTATGACGCACCAGGATATGGCTACCCCGGGGATGCCGCCGTTCCTAGGTCGTATGGCCCACCACGCGGCGCCCCTCGAACTCCTCGTGGAGCCTACCCTCCGGCGGAACAGAACTCCGACCGCAGCTACGCATACAGTGGACGGCCGCCACCAAACGGCTACGATGGTCGCCGTGACCGCAGAGGACCTCCTCCGGGATCAGAGCGCATGAGACCAGGTGAGAGGATTTAATATCCTGAGTATCCGTAGTCCAACGCCTAACGTGACCGATTCTTACAGTTCCCCGCGGCCCGCCGACCGAACCAGACAAAATGTCATGGGATAACCCGTTTCCCATGTTCCCCTCCAAACAACCAAGTGGCCGGTCCAGAGGAATCGAGGGCGGCATGGCGAGAATGGATCTGAACGGCCCTCCACGCCCGCATACATCGAACAGTAGACGACCGGGACCACCTACGGACAGCCGAGGCAGAGGATATGGCCCTCCACCCATGCGATCGGCGAGTGCTGGACGCCCAACGGCTGGCGCTGGGGGGTATGATCGTTCGTATACCGACCCCGGTGCTGCACCACCTCCGGTACCGCATATCAACCGCAGCGCCACGATGCCGGTGCATCCGGATGCGATGGACGGTCCTATGGGCAGCTCGAGGTACCCTGGACAGTCGACTTACCAATACTCCCACCACGAGGAACATAACGACACCGAAGATCTCTTGGACAGCTACTACAACTCCGCTCCCACGGATGAAGCTGACATGCCCAACTTTGATGCCATGCCTGATACAAAAACCAACCCGATTGATGAGAGCTTGCCTGGACTAGAAACGCCGAAACCGAAGATGTCCATGGAGTCTGCTCCGTCTGGGAACCAGTACACAGCTTTCAGCCCACGGTCTGCAGACATCTCTCACTCCAAGTCGCAGCCCAATATGAAACCCGGTAGCGCACCAAATCAGTTCGAGGACGCGGGGTTTCAATTTGATCTCCCCGCCCATGGCGCTGCAGGAGGAGCGTATTACGGTATGGGACCTAATGGGCATGAAGATCTGATGCAGGGGCAGTATTCTCAGAGACAGGGAAGCCGGGGGGCTACCGTGGATGGATACGGGCCCCCTCGCCCGTATCGGGCGAACCAGCCGGAGTATAACTCACAGACTCCAATGGTTAACGAGGCCGAAACAATGGATCCGCAGAACCCCGACGCGCTGCCGCATCACCCTGTTCCATTCCGTCCAGGCCATGATCAAGGTGCTAAGCCCGCTCCTGTCCGTCAATACACCAGCACTCCGGCTCCTCAGCCTGTAACTCCGCCGAGTGCCCCCGCCACCTCGACTCCTACACCCGTAACTCACGAGGAGCTCCAACGGCTGCAACAGACAGTCAAGGGCAGGCCATCTGACCAGAAGACTCAGCTTCTGCTGGCTAAGAAACTTGTTGAGGCGTCTGTTGTCCTCGTTGAGAACACACACATGGACACCAAGACCAAGACCAAGGCCCGGGAGAAATATATTACGGATGCATACAAGATCGTCAAGAAGCTGGCCTCCAGTGGATATGCAGAGGCTCAGTTCTATCTGGCTGACTGTTACGGCCAGGGCCAGCTGGGGCTGCAGATCGACAACAAGGAGGCTTTCAATCTCTATCATTCTGCTGCTAAATCCGGCCACGCGCAATCGGCCTATCGTGTTGCAGTGTGCTGTGAGATCGGTGCGGAAGAGGGTGGTGGCACCAAGCGTGATCCTTTCAAAGCCGTGCAGTGGTACAAGCGCGCCGCGTCCCTGGGCGATCCTCCGGCCATGTACAAGATGGGAATGATCTTGCTGAAGGGGCTTTTGGGCCAGGAGAAGAACCCTCGCGAGGGCGTGTCGTGGCTGAAGCGCGCGGCGGAGCGAGCTGATGTGGAGAACCCCCATGCTCTGCATGAGCTGGCGCTGATGTACGCGAATGCGGGTCCCAACGATGTCATCATTCGGGACGAGGCTTATGCGTGCCAACTGTTCCATCAGGCCGCCGAGCTCGGATACAAGTTCTCCCAGTTCAGTCTCGGCGCGGCCTATGAGTATGGGCTGATGGGATGCCCGGTTGACCCCCGCCAAAGTATCATCTGGTACACCAATGCTGCAGCGCAGGGCGAGCATCAGAGTGAGCTGGCTTTGAGTGGGTGGTATCTGACGGGGTCGGACGGGATCCTGCAACAGAACGACACTGAGGCGTATCTGTGGGCCCGGAAGGCCGCCACATCGGGTCTCGCAAAGGCCGAGTACGCCATGGGCTATTTTACCGAGGTTGGCATTGGTATTGCTGCGAACCTGGATGATGCGAAGCGATGGTATTGGCGAGCAGCAGGTGAGTCCGCATATACTTGACTGTCGGTGGTTACTTAACTAATCGTATCGCCCTACAGCCCAGGGATTCCCGAAAGCGCGCGAGCGTCTCGAGGAGCTCAAGAAAGGCGGAGCTCGGATGCAGAAGACGCGATTGTCTCGATCTGCTGTCAACGGGCAAAAGCAGAATGAAGGCGACTGTCTTGTTATGTGATGTTACTTGTCGATTGTGTCGTATGATGCGCATCATTCCATACTCTCCGGACGACCGAGAGGACGATTCACTGTTAGTGCATATACCCCGTTTAATGATAACCGTGCCTATGTACATTTTTCATGCGGCTTTGGATGGATTTGGTTGTATTTTGGACGGTTTGGGGTTTGGATATAGGGCGCCGGAGCTGTCCGGGTTTCGATTCATGTTGAATACTTGAATTGTAGTACTTACTAATGTAACTCTATGATCTTAACGTCTATCTTATAGTCTGTACATCGATTGGTAACGCCTATGGTAAGCAACAAGTAAGCACCGTAAAGTGCGGGCGGATTCCGCACGCCCGGTCGGATCGGCTGACATGCTGACAATTCACCAACCACAGCCAATCCTCTCCAGCCTATGTATATAAATTTCGTCAGGATTCTCCGATAGCTTCATTTGAGGATATAGACGCTGTCTATATACACGCAGTGAATGTAAAGCGACATCAGCGACCGGCTCACCTCTTTTCCACCAGCAACCTATGCCTCCCGACTCTGTCGCAGACAACGCCCAGCACAACCACAAGAAACCATCTTCCATCCCTATCGCGCTCCTCGCCGCGCTCGTTGCAGTTGCAATCGCTCTGTTCGCAGGATACACCTCCCAGCAGATCGAAACCACCGACGGACCCACCGCCAATCTGTTCGGGTTCAGACGGCTCTTCGGATCGACTCTCTCATCGTCTGCGCCGTCCGTCGCACGACCAACGGGAACGGGGTCTGCAGCAGTTACTTCAGCCGTGGGACACAAATTCTCGAAATCCGCCGCGAAGGGCGCACAGAATCTGAAGAGCTCCAGCGCTCTGCAGACGGATACCATGCGCACGCCTGTGTACTTCTTGAGCCATGGGGGCGTAAGTGTCTATGTTTTCCTGCGAATATTGGACAGTGTGAGTTGTTAACGGACGTAGCCCAACATCATGTACGACACCGATCACCCGGCGTACCATAAGCTGGCGCAGATCGGCCGCGAGATCACGGGCAAGGTGAAGCCGCGCGCGGTCGTGGTGTTCTCGGCGCATTGGCAGGCCGGACGGGATACGATCCATGTCAACCATGCGGAGATGACGGAGTTGATTTACGAGTAGGTGTTCTCCTTTTTGCGACGTACGGTACGTACCGGGTGTGGAGGGTGCTGACGATGGCGTAGTTTCTACGGCTTCCCAAGCCACTACTACAAGGAAAAGTACCCCAACGTGGGGAGTCGCGAGATCGCGAACAAGGTGATTGACCTGCTGCGCCAGGCGGGGATCAACGCCGAGGGGGTTAAGAGAGGGCTGGACCATGGGGTGTGGGCGAGTTTCAAGTGCGGTATGTCCTTGCGATCAGCTGCCGTGGGTAGAAGAAGATGAAGCTGATTAGTGCAGCATTCGAGCCCGACTCGAACCCGCTGAATGTGCCCATCGTGCAGGTATCTCTCTTCGACAGCGAAGACCCCATCCAGCACTACCGGCTGGGCCAGGCAGTGTCGCAGCTGCGCGACGAGAACATCCTGATCATCGTGTCCGGCATGGCGGTGCACAATCTGCGCGACATGCGGTTCACGTGGGGTGACCCGACGCCACTGCCGTACACGGCCAGCTTCGACGAGGCGCTCAAGGAGGCGGTCACAACGGCTCCTGAGGACCGCGAGCAGGCGATGGCGGCGCTGCTGAAGCGGCCGGATGCGCGCCAGGCGCACCCGACCTTTGACCACGTGCTCCCGATCCATATCGGGGCGGGCGCGGCCGGCGCGGATGTCGGGCGACGCTTGTGGACGCTCAAGGAGGGGAGTTTGAGCTGGGCACAGTATAGGTTTGGAGAGGTGCCGAATGCCACAAGTGCGTTGTAGACCTACACCTGCAGTATATAGTGTGCGAACAGAGATTGTCTTGAGTCTTGTAGATTTTCAATTCATCTATAGGTACAGTGGTAGACTGAAAGAAGCGCGGAATATACGAGTCGAATGAAATCAATGCGTTATGAGGACTTGACCAGCTGGGTGATCTTTTCTTCGATCTGTGCGTCCGAGAGACCTGGATGGCGTTAGTCGGTGGTTTGGTTGGAGTGTGAAGATGTATGGTCACGCACCCATCAAAGCCTCTTGCTTCTCCTGTCCGAATCCTAACAGCTTGTTAGTGCCGTTTGACAGTCGCTCGCAGTCTCGGAGAATGCGTACCGTATCTAGCATACACCCGGGGAACGGTGCCGACAGCCTCCCGCATCAGGATGGGGGTGTGCGGGTTGTGCTTCTTCATGGTCGGGTAGGCGCGCTGGAGGAACGACCTGGAGAGCGAAAATCAATATCGCCTGCGACAATCGCCCGGCGGAATGCATCGAGGAGGCTCACCGCGTCGCAGCGCTGTCCTGGGACGTCTGGCAGAAAAGGAAGCGCAGCTCCTTCAGGCCCTTGGAGAAGACGTATTTGCCGGACATTGTGGATAGGGAGCGGTGGGAACCGGGTGGGAAAGACGGCGACAGGCGGGAAAATGTCTGGCGGAGGGAATTGGCCCCGGTGGGATCGAGTTTTGGGGGGTATCGTGACGAGGGCCGAAGGGGAGTGGAAGTTGAGATGATGGACGGAGGTGGTTGCAAGACCAATCCAGTCAAGCGTGATGGTCACCCACACACCGCTTACCTCAGCCGGAAACGAGCCGCAACTCCGCCGACGTCGGCTTCTCTGTCTCCTCGCATCATCTTCTTGTCTTCTTCCTACGTGCTGGGTGCAAGTGTTCTTGGATCGTACCGACGTATATATTTCCGCCGTTGAGTCCGGGAGTTAATTCCTCTTTTCTTGTTGTACCCTCTCCGCTCAACAACACCCTCCCCTTCCGTCCCCTTCCCAACAGATCAACATGTCGTCTCGTGTCGGCCTTCGCTTCTTCCAGAACGCCCGCGCGGCTTTCCGCAATGCGTCTGCTCCCTTCCGTCGGCCTGGTGCCCAGGGACGTCGCTTCCAGAGCACCGAGGCGCCCGCCGCCGAGCAGCAGAGCACGTTCCAGCGTCTATGGAACAGCCCGGTTGGCGTGAAGACGGTGCATTTCTGGTGCGTTGAGCTCTTTGTCCTGCAGGCACAGTATCTCTACAGATCTGGAACGTTAAGCTAACTGTGATGTGTTAGGGCCCCTGTGATGAAGGTATGAACCGATCCAGTGCTGCTACAATCGCCAACGATGGACCCCGGCGACCTCCGATACCACCGCTCCCGCTACACCGTCGACCGATATAGCTGACAGTCTATTCACAGTGGGGTCTGGTCATTGCTGGTATCTCTGATTTCTCGCGTCCTGCTGAGAAGCTCTCCCTGACCCAGAACTGCGCCCTGATGGCCACCGGCGCCATCTGGACTCGCTGGTGCATGATCATCACTCCCCGCAACTACCTGTACGTCCCAATCATGGCTTGACGGCTCAATGGCTATTGGCGAGGAGAAGGTTGTACTGACATGATGCAGGCTCGCCGCCGTGAACTTCTTCCTCGGATGTGTCGGTGTGGTCCAGGTCGGCCGTATCGTCAACTACCGCCGCTCCGTGGAGGGATCGACAAAGGAGGCGCTCAAGGACGTGGAGCACGAGGTGGTTGACTCGGCAAAGGCAACTGTTGCGAAGGTGGAGGCTGTGGTGGAAAAGAAATAGATGTTGCGTGTTCTTGTAACTTGACCCAATGGTATCTATTGATCTCGCAATGTCTCGTCGACGCGACTAGCGGTTCGGGTTGTATATAATGAGCAATGCTAGCGTGTCAGGCAGATGTCAGTAGTATGTCTTGGAAATCTCCAAATGAGCTCCCCCGAATGCAAGGCACAATAGATTAACTGCTGGGATACTCCGCGACGTGCATAATTTTCCTTCCAATCGGGCGCTTCTCGGACGGCCAGCGACGCAGTTCTTCCTCCTATCAGAACCCGATCTCGTACTTTCTCTCTCCCCATCGCTACAAATACTGACGGCTGTGGAGGATTTCGCTCCATTCACAGTCTCCGGATATTGCGTTCGCGGGGAGGCGTATGGGCAGGGATTCACCATTCCGTGGGGATGGAGTCCGGGGTATGGAGCTCGTCGAGCATATAAATAGTCCGTTCTCGTGTCAGAGACATCCATCTCGCTCAACGGACCCCACTCAATCGACAGGATCAGCACCATGAAGTTCCTCCACACCGTGGCCCAAACAGCCACGCTGCTCCTCTCGCTCGGCGCCTCCGTCGAAGGCTTCAACCGCGCCCGCAACGACGCCTGCAAACCACACCACCCGTTCCGCCCGCTGCCCGCCAGCACACCACGCACCAAGACCTGCCATGTGCGCAGCCACGGCGACGGCACCGATGACGCAGCCTTCGTGCTGTCCGCGCTGCGCAAATGCAACAACGGCGGGAAGGTCGTCTTCGACGCGGACAAGGAGTACACGATCGGCACGGCGCTGGACATGACCTTCCTGCGGCACGTGGATCTCGAAATCCTCGGCCGCATCCAGTTCACCAACGACACGGACTACTGGCAGGCGCATGCCTTCCGGCATGGCTTCCAGAACGCGACGACGTTCTTCCAGCTCGGCGGGACGGACGTGAACGTGTATGGCAGCGGCACGCTGGACGGCAACGGCCAGGTCTGGTATGATCTGTATGCGGCCGAGCCGCTGACGCTGCGGCCAATTCTGTTGGGCGTGATCGGGTTGCATGGCGGCACGATTGGGCCGTTGAAGTTGCGGTATTCGCCGCAGTGGTATCAGCTCGTGGCGAACTCGACGGATGTGTTGTTTGATGGGATTGATATTAGTGGGTATAGTTCGAGTAAGAACACGGCGAAGAATACGGATGGATGGTGGGTGCTTTTTCCTCGTTTATTGGGAGTGCAGCTGACTGATGGATGTGGACAGGGATACGTATCGCTCGTCGAATATTGTCATCCAGAACTCGGTGGTGAATAACGGTGATGGTATGCACCTGAGCTCCATGGTTGAAGACGTGCTAATGATATGTGCAGACTGCGTCTCGTTCAAGCCGAACAGCACCGACATCCTCGTGCAGAACATGCACTGTAACGGGTCGCACGGCATCTCCGTCGGCTCCCTTGGCCAGTACAAGGGCGAGATCGACATTGTCAAGAACATCCTCGTCTACAACATCTCCATGTACAACGCCTCGGTAAGTATCGCCGCTTTCTGTCTTACGAGCACCCATCTAATTCCGATGGTCAGGACATGGCACGCATCAAGGTCTGGCCCGGTGTGGACTCGGCCTTGTCCGAGGACCTGCAGGGCGGCGGCGGTAGCGGCGCCGTCAGCAACATCACCTACGACCGGATGTACATTGAGAACGTGGACTGGGCGATCGAGGTGACGCAGTGCTACGGGCAGAAGAACCAGACGCTGTGCAACCAGTACCCTGTAAGTTGTTTCCGGGGGGTGATGTGTGCGATGTTAACGAGTGCAGAGCAATTTGACCATCTCGGACGTGCATATCAAGAACATGTGGGGGACTACGTCGGGGAAGCGCGACCCCAACGTGGGCACGATAGTGTGCTCCAGTCCTGATGTAAGGGTTCGGAGGCCGTATAGGGTGTTACATGCTGACGAGGATAGGTCTGCTCGGACATCTATGTCACCAACGTCAACGTTACGAGTCCCAGCGGAACAGACGACTATATCTGCACGAATGTGAGTTTCCTTGGTCTGAGACAGAACCGGACTAACATGTCTAGGTCGACGAGTCTCTCCTCGACGTCAACTGCAGCTCGGGCTAGCCATGTTGATACGATCGTCTGTAGATAGCAGCACTGAATTAAAAACTATAACAATTACGATATTTCCATCTGAACCATAATCCTGCACCTCGAACGAGACAGCCTACCCTTACAACCGATCCGCAATCTTATGCCGGTGCACCCAGCTCCGCGCCCTCTTCCCATACACATACCTAGCAACGTCAGCACGCCCACATCAGCGCCACAAAACCAGAACTTACATAGGGATAGTGAGCAATGTAACCGCAACGGTAATCCCACCAATGGTAAAGAAACAGTCCCGCACGCCCTGGCTAGCAATCCACCCGTTGACGTAGAACGTCAGCCCGAAGGCGAAGCAGTTCTTGACAAAGTTCATGGCGGCAAATGCCTCACCGGCGTTCTCGCGGTGGCAGTCGACCACGTACGTGACGACGCCGGTGGTGCCGAGCTGCACGCCGAGGTTGATCAGGCCCAGACACACGACGACGGGGATGGGCCATTTGTCGCGCACGTACAGCGACTGGCCCCAGGCGAAGAAGCCCGTCGCCGTGAAGCAGAGGTAGGAGACCATGATGGGGAGGCGGAATTCGGGTTCTACATTATCAGCATGCGTTCGCCTCAATTGAGTTCCTGGAAGTAGAGGGGAGATATACCGAAAGTCCCCCTGTTCATCTTGGCCAGACGGGTGGCGACGCCGTCGACGAGCGGGCCGGCGATGAGCGTGCCGATGAGCGAGGCGACGAACGACGAGACGTTGGTGGCGCCGACGCTGCCAACGGAGAAGTTGTACGGCGGGGCCGAGAAGATCTGCGAGAGCGTGAGGGAGATAAGCACGAGCCAGGAGATGCAGGTGGTGAACAGCAGGGTGGCCCAGAGGACCACCGGCGAGGCGAAGAAGAAGTAGAACGGGCGGACGAGCGTGTTCCAGAACGAGACGTGGTTGATGTAGCCGCTGTATGGGAGGAGCTCCCGGGCCCAGGAGATTTTGTCTTCGGCGGTACTGTCGTTGTATTCGACATGCTCGGGCTGGGCTTTTCCTTCGACGGTGACCTGCGATTGTTAGCGCCGTGCTATCCGGCGTGGGGTGGACGTACGGCTGCGTCGCCGGTGTCAATGTTCAGGACATCCTTGCGGGCGTATGCGGACTCGGGCATCCAGAAGAAGACCATGATGAGGGTGAGACCAAATGCGCCGCCCATGCCGTGCAGACAGATGCGGTAGGAGCCGTATTGGATGATGGCGCCAGCTGGAACGGTCAGTCGTGCAGGGAGCCTCCGAGGGACAGATAATTACCGATTGGGACAGCGAGATTGATTCCACCCAGCACGCCGAGGTTGAATATGGCGGTGCGGAAGCCGCGTTCGTGAACGAACCTGGATGATCAGCATACCGGCGGAAAGCTGTGAGTAGGGAGCGTTGCGCACCAGATGTCCGCGATAGACGCCGGAACCAATGCCTCCAACGGGGCCATGCAGATGCCACAGACGACGCGCGCGGCCACCAGGGAGGCGAAGCTCTTCGCCTCGGCGGCCCAGAAACAGGACACCATCAAGCCGATGGTGGTGATGAGATAGATGGGACGCTTGCCATACTTGACCGCCAGCGAGTTGCAGAGCAGACTGCCAAAGGCGATGGCGGCGATGGTGCCTCCCTGTACGCCGGACACGAAGGTATTAAGCGGCACGCCGAATTCTTTTGCCAGGGGGACAAAGGCCGCTCCGAGAAGGGGACCGACGGCTACAGAGCATTAGGAGCAACCACGGCTGTTGATCCGACGGTGACATACCTCCCACGCAGCCACAGCCCCAGCCGTAGGCAATGGTGAACAGCTCTTTCTTCCATCGGGGCCAGTTATAGGGGTCATTGGGGGAGTCAGAGGGCTGGGGAACAAGCACGATCTTTCCTGTGGGATCGTGTTTGAGCAGACTGGGATCGATGCCGGCGTAGGCCCCTGTCTGACCCAGCTGGTTCAGCGGCGCGGTCCCGGGGACATGCTCGAGCTTGTCGTCTTCGAGGATACCAAAAGGCATGTTGGGATACTTTCACCGTCAAGACTTGACGGAAGTCTCGTCTGCTGTTCGTCGATGGAGTGGTTGTCGGGTTCGGAAGAAGCGATGCAGTGACGTGGGACACAGGAAGAGCGATCGTAGCTATGCACACCGGCGACACGCTCGACGCGAAGGATTTATACGCCGGATTGTTCTCCAGCGATCCGCGTCACCCGCGCAACTGACTCGTCGGCGTATGGATGGATTGACGCATCAGGATGCGGAGACGATGGGGGATTCCCGCCCAAGAAAGGCGGCAGTGACATTCCCCACGGGGTGGGTGGCTGGAATCCGGGGTATACGAGGCATGGAGACAAAGAGAATTCCAGCGTTGGTGACTGATGGTGAGGGATGTGGAGGAGTTGGGGTTTGTCCTGTGGAGGAAGTCCGAATGAACTATACACAGCCAGTATGCATAAGGTATGCGGATGCAGTATGCCCAGACGACGGATGCCTACCAGCACTAGTAGTGATCCTGAAGGATATACTATAGCTTACTAGTCTATAGTTACTTCGTGTACTTCCCCGGGATTCCCCCGTCCCACAACGCCATCAAGTGGAGAGACTCCAGGAATGAGGGGTTCGGACACATTCCGCCAGTATATCCCTATATCATACATTCATATCAATACAATCACTCCCATCCACGCATTCCATCCCCAACTCAATATGCCACGCAGCATCATCATTACAGGCGGCGCATCGGGCATCGGCCTCGGCATCGTCCGCCACTTCGCCCCCCGACCGGACACCCACATCACCATCCTCGACATCAACGCCGCCACCGGCGCGCAGGTCCTCTCCGACCTGCAGCGCGAGTTCCCCTCGGCCAGCCTCAGCTTCGAAGCCTGCGACACGTCCTCGTGGGAAGCGCAAGCCGCCGCCTTCGCGGCCGTCTACGCCCAGCGCGGCCGCATCGACCTCGTCTTCGCCAACGCCGGCATCACCGAAAAGGGCAGTGTGCTGGATGGCATGCACGCTGCGGCGCCTGTCAAGCCCACTGTCGTGACGCTGGATGTGAACCTATTGGGAGTTATATACAGTATGTCTGCCCTGTTCTTCGCATTGGCGTAAAGGAAATGTAGAGTATTAATGCGGTGGTAGGTGTCAACCTGGCCGCGCACTATATCGCAAAGAACGCACCGGTCGCAGGCTCCAGGGGAAACATCATCTGCACGGCGTCCAATGCCGGCATCTACCCGTTCCCCATGGCGCCGCTGTATGCGGCCACCAAGCACGGGGTTATCGGGTTGGTGCGCTCGCTGGCTCGGCCATTGCTGAAGGAACAGATTCAGATTAATGCGCTGGCGCCGGCGGTTATCCGTACGCTTTCTTCCCGGTTTGAAGTTAAAAGGTGATGGTACTGACCGAATAGAAACGAATATCGCCCCCGACAGCGCGCTGTTCCAGTCCATGGTCCTCACGCCCATGTCCACGGCCACAAGGGCCGTCGCGCAGCTGGTCGAGGATCCCTCGTTGACGGGGAAAATAGCCGAGCTGCATGGCGAGCATGTCACCTTTGCAGAGCCGCCGCCGTATGTCGATGAGGATACGGGGAAGAATATCGAGACGTTCTGGCGGCTGGGGTACGCGTAGACGAACTAGTATAATGAAATCATAGATCAATTGTCTCTGTATTCGTGAGTCTTGTCTTCGTCTGAATAGTGCTGCCAGCGCCACATGCTCTAGATTGTCAACCATCCTGCCATGCTCCATCTATCCCAACCCATCTAACGCCTCAAAATATCAAAATCAAAGCATGGTATAAATACTTAATCCGTTTCATCCTGCAGCAACACCTTCAGTCGCTCCAGCTTATCCTCGCAATTCACCTCCATCTGCATGATCACGTCGACGCTCTCCTTCTTGGTGATGAGGAGATGCGAGACCAGCCAGAAGTTGTACCCGTTCTTGTAGAATCCCATCGCCGCCCACTCGTTCGTGGTAACCGTCATTCTTAGCGTCTGCCAGTGTTCCCGCCATCGGGAGAGTGCCGTCCGGATTGACGCCAGCGTCGAGTCCTCTGCTACCCCTGCAGTACGGGATCGGGTCTTGCTGCCAGATTTGGGATTCGATTGCGCAGCCCGTGTCAACCGCAGGAGGGGGATCTGCAGGGTCATGTGTTCGTTGATGAATGCGTAGAGAACTGTTTTGTTAGCGAGGTCGAGATTAGACTGCATAGGCAACGTACGATGAATGAGGATAAACATGTCAAAGACGGTCACACTGGGCAGGATCTCTGGCGCCGGCGAGACCGACTCGGATGACGGTGTATCCCGAGAGCCAGGCTCTTCGAACAACGACTGGAACGCCTCGGAGATGGTGTACTCTCGGGCGAGCCGGAAGTTCGGCTCTCCAAACGGATGTTCCGAGGCGAAGACAGACTCGGGACAGGGGAAATCGCATTCCATCTCGGTGTGAGGGAGTCGACACGGGAAGTTCTGGTAAAACGAAAACGCGCAGTCAAGAAGCGAGATAATATTCATGGTGCTAGACTGGTCAGTGTCTAAACCGAGAAACAAGGCACGCCACTCACCGGATACGGCATTCTTTCTGAATCCACGTCTGCTCATCCACGCTTGCGTCCGGCTGATGACGACACTTTGGCAGGCCCATTCGACGCGCTACCCTGATCACCTCGCTGAACCGAGCCTCCATTACCCGACTGCGTGACATGGGACTCCCAGACCAGTACTGGGCAACGCAGATGATGAAGCCGGCCTGGAGATTCTGGAACTGATAATGGTTGAAGTCACAGTCGCCGTGGCGAATTCCAGCATACGCCAGACTGATCTCGTGCTCTGGCGCAAAGACCTCGCTGGAAAAGACATAGAGCTCCGCAAAGTCAATGAGCCGCTTCGCCGCGTAAGACTCCCTCTGATCTCGCGAGTACATGGCGCCCAAGAACGTGACGGAGACGAGTAAGTATAGAGAGATGGTGTCTGGATTAAATGACGGGTAGTGGAGGATGGGGCAGTTTGGCTGCCAGTATTTGAAGTACATGGCGACGAACTTTCGGATGCGGGCTGTTGTGAGGAGGTAGTTGAGGTTGATGGAGATTTCTTCATGAGCCTTGGGGTCGAGAGGAACCGACCATGCGCGAGCCAGAATCGCCTGGATCATGGCCGTCGCAAAGGGTCGTTCGGGCTCATAGATGGGCTCCCCTGCGAAGGCAAAGTTCGCATCATCCGCCGGCGAAATGACCGTTGGGAAGACCATGCCGTTAAAAGGGTCGCTCACGGATTTTTGCGGGGCGCCAAAGGGCCCATTGAAGAAGTCAAGGAAGGTATCGTGGAAGAACGAGAGGCTGGAAGGGTCGGAGTCGACAAAGGCCGGGGTGTAGCCGGATTCATCATTGACAGGGTATGCCAGCCGCGACCGCTCCGCTTCCTCCAGCTGGTTATGGTATTCCAGACCACGGGTGCGATCGCTCCGCGGCGGGAGGAGAAATTGTTCTGTGAAGCTGTCTGTGCCTCCGTTGAGAAGGAACTTGATAGAGCCTCGGTCAGAGGAAGGGACTAGATCGTCTGGCGTGGTTGGAGTGTCTATATCGCCATTAGACCAGATATCGTCATCCATCCGAAGAGGACTGTACCTGCACCCGGACTGAAATCTTTCGTCTGCGTCTTGCGCTCATTGTTACACTCGAGGCCTCGTTTTTGACACGAACCGCAGGGACTGAGACCGTCGCATCGGAGCTTCATCGACGTACACTGACCTACGTTAACGCGACGCCCACCTCACACCATCTGAAACCAGTCAATGGACGTACTGATTGACAAGCATGGCGCCGTCGGCCTCTCTGGCCCGTTTCAGGAATTTTCCGATCGCCTCGTTGAGCGCAGTCGTTGTAGTGATCACGGAGGTTGTCACTGAGGGGAAGTTAGTAAGCGCGGCCACAAATGCGACATCGAGGCAAAATGGAAAATCCGATGGGTAGCTGACGTACCACCGCGCAAAGGATTCCTTGCAGAAGATGCAGGAGTATGGCTTGATGCCGGAGTCTGACGAACCAACGTGACGGGTTAGTCGAGGACTAGTGAGTGGTGGAGGGTCGGGGGGAAGCAGTTCCGGCGCAGGGACTGAGGGAAAACCCCAGAGGGGAACAACGTACGGCGGAGATGATGACGTTTCAAGTGATCAATGCGGGTGAACCCCCGCTGACAGATGGTGCAGCAGAAGTGTTTGCTGGAGGCGGGCTTCATGGTGAGACGAGACTGGGATGGTGATGCATCGGGGAGAAGAAGGGGAGGAGGAAAGCTGGGGGGGAAATTCTGGGGTAAAGAGAAAAAAAGAAAAGAAAAGACAAGAGGGGCGATGATTAGTTAGTTATGCCGTGGGGCTTCCGTAATCCATAGATCGTAACTAACGAAGAACCAAAGAAGCCTTCAAGGACCGGGATTCGAGTCGACAGACTCCGAGGAAGAACAAGAAATCCTCAATTCCGGTCGAGTCATGGTGATTCTGCGGAGGAGGGCGAACGGCCATCTCCAGGTGACTTGGCCGGTACCCAGTGCCCCATGCTGGCGCCCGCTTGATTGGCGGTACCAGCCAAGTACCGACGGTACTGGCCCCCGTCAGATTACCATGATCCTCATCTCCACCACGACTCGGCATTTCACCGACTGCTGTTTTGGACTAGATCTATTTCTGCCTCGGATACCATCCATATCTACCTAGGTAGTAGGTAGTCTACCTGGGAAGTGGTACAGTGGTACGAAGTAGTTGAATAGTTGATATACATCTATACCACCAACGCCTCCGGGAAATCAACCTCCGCGTCGTCCAGATAATCCACGTTGATCGCCTTGTGCTTCTCATTCTCCGTCCACCCGTCTCCCAACCATCCATTCGCATTGTCGTTTACATACTCATACGAGAAATCCTCCCACCGCGGATTAGCCAGCGTCTTCAGCGAGTGTAGCGAAGATCCCGGCCACAGCGCCGTCACCCGTCCGTCCTCCGTGCCACCCTTGTACCAACTCCGGCATTTCAAGCTAAACACCGTCCGTGCAAAGTATTGATCGCAGTGCTGCGTGAAGCGTTCCACCGCGTCCTTGCGTACGCTCATCGCCCGGATGTTGTCGCGCTGCATCTTCTCCACGCACTTGGTGAAGTAGTCCTGCTCCTTTTCAATCAGGAGCAGCAGATTGCCCTCGCCCAGCGCCGAGTTCGGTCCCAAGCTGATGAAGTAGTTGGGGAACCCATCCACCGCGAGAGATAGGTACGTCTCCGGCGTCTGCTTCCACCGATCCGCCAAGGACACCCCGTCCCGGCCGATTATGGGGAACCGCGGCGTAAAGGTGGTGTCGAAGCCGGTGGCGCAGACCAGCACGTCGATCGGACGGTGCTTTCCGTCCGCCGTGATAATGCCCTCGGCATCGACCTTGACGATCTCGCTCGTGATCACGTCCACCTTGTCATCCGTCAGCGCCTCTAGATACCCTGGTCCGGGCGTCAGTCGGCGGCAGATGGGTGGGAAGGACGGGGTCAGCTCGTCGAGAAGCTCGGGCTTGCGTGACAGCCGGCGCTTCATGTTCTGCAGGAAGACATCTCTGGTTCCGATTTGCTCGGGCGTGCCGATGAGGGTTGCCCCGTGGACGGACTGCAGCTCAAGCTCGATCTCTATTTCCAATTAGCAGTGCCATGGATATGGTGTGGTTGGGAGAACGTACCTTTGCGGAATTTCTGATAGGCCTGGTGGTCCTTTTTGAAATTCTCGATTTCCTCCGGAGTGAAAGAGACTAATATGACGTTAGGGGGCGTAACTCTGATTCGATCGGGAACCTTACAATTCTCTAGTTCCGCGCCACGCTTGTCAATGTGCTCCCGCGCAAAAGTAGGAGACAGCCAAGTCCGGCCGCGGATATAGTGATCGATATGCGTTACCTTTGGCAGCATTCCAGGGACGATTTGGATTCCGCTGGATCCGTTCCCAATTACGGCGACTCTTTTACCCTGCGACGGTCAGTATACTTCGGACCCCTCTTTCGCAACATAACGTACGCTATAGTCATAACTCTCATCCCAGTTCGCACTGTGCATCAACTTGCCCTTGAAATCATGAAGTCCCGGGATCCGTGGCCACTTCCAGCTGTTAAGGGCGCCAGACGCGGATATTAGCACATCGCACTGGTCTTGAATGGTCTTCTTGCCGTCGATGTCCTCAACCTGCAGCTTCCACTTGCTGTCTTTCTCGTTCCAGATCGCCTCGCAAACCTGGTGTTTGAACTTGACGTATTTCATGCAACCGTACTTGTCCGCCACGCGCTTCCAGTACTTGTGGATCTCTGGGGCAGCAGCGTAGAAGGTCGACCACTCTTTGTTTGGCTCAAATGTCGCCTGGTACGTGTGAGCAGGGATATCTAGATGGCGTTAGCATGTCTGAAGTGGTTCGATCTGAAGAGACATGGTACTCACCACAGGCACATCCTGGATACCGGTTCTCGAGCCAGGTGCCCCCGATATCTGCATTCTTCTCGTACACCTGCAGATCGAGGTTGGGAATGCGCTGTCTGAACCGGATGGAAGCGAGGATGCCGGAGATGCCTGATCCGATGACGACCACGCGCAGCGGACGGCACTCGTCAACGGATCGTTCTTCGACAGCGCATTTCAGAGGCTTGGTGTCACTCTCGGAGGAGCTACCCCCTAATATCCGAGCGATCGTTCGCATATTGAAAGAGTCTGAAGTTTGAGTAGACGGGGGGGAAGAGAAAAGACAGATACACTCGATTCCAAGTCGGGACGGTGATTCTCCGGTGGGCATTTATAAGATTGTACCCTGGATAGATACGACCCCTGGCAGCGCGGAGTCGTCACTAGCTCGGAACGGCGTGCAGGGAACTCGTAGGCGAACCTAGTTATGATCTCCTCCCCGTCCCCCGGCCAGGATGATCCGTACACGATGTCTCGGGGAGGAGGATATCAACAGGACGAGGTCCACCCGATTGCGCATCTTTTTCCTCGACATGCTTGATTCTCCTTCTTTGTTGTTCTCTGGGGAAACGACGGAACTTGACGGGGAGATTCTACTGGGGGATGAGGCATGAGGATTGTGGATAGTGTCGGAAATCCCCCGTCGGCCTGAGTCTTGTCACCGGCTACTCCACATTTGCGGGGGATAGGAACATTATCTGCTCCGGAGTACGGAGTATTACCTACTCTGTATATTATTACTATAATATTATTATTATCCCAGCTTCCGCTAATGGCTCATCGCATTCCCCCATAGCCGAAAATTACTGTAACACGATGGTTATATCCGATTACTGTTCTTTCTAGACTCGTCGATCAGTCTATCGCCCTGCTTATCGCATTTCCGAGAGGCACTATCCTCTGAACGTAGGGAAGGGAGTGCGGAATTACTGCGCTGATCCGGAGAAGGTCCGGAGAAACCCCGCCAACAGGGTCCGTCTATTTCTCCTTTGGGGGTTTAGACATTACGGAGTACGCCATCTCGATGGGCAAACATATGCGATGATCAAAGCTAATGTGAAATTGCACATGCGTGTGGTCCATTTCTTGGTACCATGGGTCAGAAGTTTGTATAGTTGTCCGAGTCGGAAAACCCCCTCATTATCGCGGGGTAAGCATGTGTTGACGATTGTGGACTTCTACTCCGTATTCTGTAGAGATATGTGTTGGTGGTTATATATATGCAGGAATCAAGGAACTAGAGTCAAACCGAGGCACATACGGAGTAGTATATTTTAGCTTTTCCGTCTCAGAGAATGAAATGTACTGGATATCCTACACGACGATACACAGAGTCTTCGCTAGATACCTACCTACCTACCCATCATGTGTTATCGGTACATTCCGATAATTCCGTGGTCAACGACACCTGTAACCTTAATGCCTCTGATGAGTGAAGTTCAAGTAATCAAGAGTCAGCATCTCCACTGGGGGAATTCCCGACAGGAGAAGCAAGCGGGGTTTCTCCGACCAAAGCCTCCTGCCTCAGCGTGGGGTAGATTACTGTGTATATCACGATCGCATTATCGCTATCCGGCTCTTTACTTCCTCAGCCCAACTCATCTTATTCCTCTCAATCCCCTTCTCTGCTCATGCCCGTCTTCACAGAATACTCCGCCGCGTCGCGGGAACTCCGCGTCCTGCCCTCCTTCGCCCCTCCATTGCCCCGCCTTACCCCAGCCTTCACACCCGACCCCAACACAGAGAAATATGAGGTTGTCGTAGTCGGCGCCGGTCCAGCCGGCCTGATGCTCAACCTCCTCCTGGCCCGCTACGGCCTCAGCGACGACTCGCTCCTCTGCGTCGACGCAAAGCCCGGCACGCTCAAATCCGGGCAGGCGGACGGGCTGCAGCCGCGCACGCTGGAAGTGCTCAAGTCACTCGGGGTGGCGGACGAGATCCTCAACGACGGCTGCCACATGGAGGAAGTCGCGTTCTGGAACCCTTCCAGCAACACGGACGAGATCATCGAGCGCACCTCCATCGTGCCAGACGTCGCCGTGCCCGCGCGCTACCGCCACGAAGTCACTATCCACCAGGGCCGGATCGAGCGCATCCTCGAGACGGATCTGCTGCGCTACTCGAAGCGTGGGGTTGTGCGGAACACGAAGCTGGTGGACGTGAAGATCGACGAGGACGGCGATGCGGAGTTCCCCGTTGTTGCGGAGATTGAGACTGACGGCGTGCGTCGCACGGTCCGGTCGAAACATCTGGTCGGCGCGGACGGCGCGCATTCTGCTGTGCGCCGCTGTATGGGTCTACAGCTGGTGGGAGAGTCGACGGACCATATCTGGGGTGTTGTCGATTTGGTCGTGGATACCGACTTCCCGGATATCAGACGTCGCTGTGCCATCCATGCGCCGGCCGGGTCGGTCATGGTGATCCCGCGGGAGCGGATTGCAACGGGCGAGTATCTTACGAGACTGTATGTGCAGGTGCCTGAAGAGACGGCTCCGGAGAGCGATGTGGCGGTCAATGGAGATGGCCAGGCGAAGAGTGATGCGAGGGCGCGACGGAGCAAGGTCACGCTGGAGGGGATCTTCCAGCAGGCGGCAGAGACATTCAAGCCGTATTATATCCAGCCCAAGGAGGACGGCGCAGTGGACTGGTGGGCTGCGTATCAGATCGGGCAACGCGTGAGCGACAACTTCACTGTCAAGGACTCGAAGGGAGTGAACAGGGTGTTTATTGTGGGTGATGGTAAGTACAGCGAGACGATTATGGGAGTGCTTAGCTGATCCTGGCGTATAGCCTGCCACACACACAGTCCTAAGGCGGGCCAAGGGATGAACGTGTCGATGATGGATTCCTACAACCTGGCGTGGAAGCTCGTCTACTCTATCAACGGGTTGACCCCTGATGCGGCGGCCGGGAAGCCGGATGCTATCCTGGACACGTACCACGCCGAGCGGCATACCATAGCGCAACAGCTCATTGAATTTGACCGTGCATTTTCCTCTATGTTCTCCGGGAAGATTGGAGGCGCCGAGGACGGCGTGGGGGCGTTGACCCATGAGCAATTCTTGGAAGTCTTCAGCACGGGTAACGGATTCACCAGTGGCTGTGGGATTGAATATCCCGAAAACCTGACCGTGCAGAAAACGGCCGCGGGCGATGTAAAAAACCCCATCCACGGGACGGACTACCTATCTGGGGTCCTTCAACCGGGCCGTCGACTGCTGGACGTGCAGCTCAAGCGACATGCAGACGGAAACCGGCGGCACTTGCAGGACGGTATGTGACAGCCCCTATGCACGAGGAACAGCCTAACGGTCTTCTAGATTTCCTCTCGACTGGACGATTCCGCATTCTTTGCCTGACGTCGTCGGATCTGCTGGAGCCCAAGGGGGTCTCTGCGCAGACGTTGGTTACGCTTGGATCGTCGGTTCTGCCACGGTTCCCTGCTTCGCTGGTTGAACAGGTGGTCGTGCACCCGCGCCTCCCCAAGAGCTTTACCTGGAGGGATGTACCCCGCGAGCTGAAGAGGCATTCGGAGATGCGATTCCACAGTGGCTACGACATGGACGATGTGTACCAGATCTACGGGGTTGATCCGGCTCAGGGTGCCTTGGCGGTGATCCGGCCCGATGGGTATGTTGGGACGATTGCTGCGTTGGATGATGTGGGCCGAGTGGAGAAGTATTTGGAGGGGTGTCTTCGGACGGTATAGTTGATGCATAAGCGTACTCCGTAAAACTATACGATGGATAAAGCATAGATGTACATATCATCGGGTGGAATCTCAACACTCATATCCTTGTTTGTATGAAGATGCGCACATGATCAATCGGGTCGATCCATGACCGAACACGAGAAGAATCAGGATCTAGGCGAAGATCGTGGCAAAAGCATCCGGAATCGAGTCACAGCGCACGAAAGGTGGCGAAAAGATACATCCTCTGCAGGGAAGTGAAAATTCGGTGGCCACTGACAGAGTTCTTTGTCGTAGTCCGGGTCATAATGCATGTTCCAGGTCGTGTAGACCTGAGCCCAACGAGAGAGAAAGATAGACAAAGCAGTGTTGCATGGATCTTCGGAGGGGAAGACTATATATCTGCCTAAATAATAAGGCATAAAAGGCACTTACCAATGAGCCACGTGACTTACCGGTGCCGATGACCCGAGACAGCGAATAAGCGAGGCCGCTGCATGCGGCATCAACCGCCTCTCCATAAACGACTTCATCCTGCAGTGGAGATTCTCCCAGCTCAATGTACGTGTCAAGCTTTCCCCTGGCAAGAACAGTCCAATGATGGCCGTTTCCTGTGCAAAAATCCATCAGGGCCTGCTCCACTGCCCCGGGGTTAGGCTCTTTATCACCGGGCATATGTACGACTAGTTATGCAGAGCCGGTACGGAAGAGAATGCTCCTCAGGTCACAATGATATAATGCCTTCGTTCCGCTCTTTGCCTCTGTTTATTTGCTTGTTTTTCTTCCTTTATCCGGACCCATATGTCTGAACATCCGTCTAAACATCCGGCATGTCGGTAAAGGAGGAATCCGTTACGTCGTCCAGGGCACGTTCGTCGTCGCTGTCGAGTTGCAGCTCCGAGTCACGAGTCTCGCGGACAGCATATCGATCCCAGTCTTGCGGCACCGCGAAAACGCGGTCTCGGTCGAGATCGGTTCGCAGCACCCCGCACGGCGATCGAGTCCTGTATTCGGGGAGACATCTCGACGACCAGTCCGTCTACCATAGCGATGACGACGCCAAGGGTGACGACGATGTAGATTCGGACTTGTCTGGTGATGGACCTGTGCTGGAGGTCCGAGGCGGCATTGTCAATGAGCGAGATGTCGATTTGGAAGCGAACCAGCAACCCACGTCGGAACTGGAAAAGTCCAAGACAGGACGGTCAGATCGATCTCGCCAGGATCGCACTCTAGTATGTGTATTTGCGTTTTACTCATGTGGTGTCCACAGCTAATCCTGTAGGTAACCTGGAATGGACCGGACGACCCGGAGAATCCCAAAAACTGGTCAACGAAGAAGAAATGGGCGGCAGTCCTCACCATCTCCTCGTTCACATTCATCTCCCCCGTCACCTCGTCGATGGTTGCCCCTGCTCTGCAGGCGATTCGAGAGGACTTTCATATCAACGATGAGGTCGTCTCTCAGCTTACGCTGTCGATCTTCGTCTTGGCATATGCCGTCGGTCCGCTGTTCCTGGGACCTCTGTCCGAGATCTACGGCAGGGTCATTGTTCTCCAGCTTGCCAACCTGTTTTATCTCGTGTTCAACATCGCATGTGGCGTCGCCCAGACCAAGGTGCAGATGATTGTCTTCCGTTTCCTCGCCGGTCTCGGCGGAAGCGCTCCACTAGCCGTAAGTCCTGCGCATCTACCCTGGTATAATCACAACTGACATCCCAGGTCGGCGGAGGGGTCCTCTCAGACTGCTTCAGAGCCGAAGAGCGCGGCAAAAGCATCGCAATCTACAGTCTAGCCCCGCTCCTTGGCCCAGCAGTCGGCCCTATCTGCGGCGGCTTCATCGCCGAATACACGACCTGGCGCTGGGTGTTCTACTCGACGAGCATCGTCGACGGCGCCATCCAAATCGCCGGCCTCTTCTTCCTGCGCGAGACCTACGGCCCCAAGATCCTCCGCGCGCGGGCTAAGAAAATACGCAAAGAAACCGGTGACGCCTCCTTTCAGACCGAAGCCGAGCGCCAGAACAAAACCCTGCTCCAAGTCCTCCGCACCGCGCTCATCCGCCCTTTCCGTCTACTCACCACCCAGCCCATCGTGCAAGCCCTCGCCCTCTACATGGCCTTCATCTACGGCACCATGTATCTGGTGCTGTCGACCTTCCCCACCCTCTGGACCAGCCCGCAATACTACAACGAATCCACCGGCATCGGCGGGCTGAACTACATCTCGCTGGGGCTGGGCTTCTGGCTCGGCTCGCAGATCTGCGCCCCGCTCAACGACCGCATCTATCGCCGGCTCAAGGCGCGCAACAACGGCACGGGACGCCCGGAATTCCGCGTGCCCCTGCTGTATGTCGCAGCTTTCATCACCCCGGCCGGACTCTTCATCTACGGCTGGACGGCGCAGAAACATTGCCACTGGATCGCGCCGAATATCGGCGCCCTGCTCTTCGGCATGGGCAACATCGTCACGTACCAGTGCATCCAGACGTACTTGGTAGATGCGTACACGCGGTTCGCGGCGAGCGCGCTGGCGGCGGCGGCGTTTTTGCGCTCGCTGGCGGGCTTCGGCTTCCCGCTGTTTGCGCCGTACATGTATGCGGCGCTGGATTACGGGTGGGGGAATAGTCTGTTGGCGTTTATTTCGATTGCGCTGGGGGTGCCGGCGCCGGTGTTTTTGTGGAAGTTTGGGGGGAAACTACGGAAGATGAGTCCGTATGCTGCTGGTTAGTGTGCGGAATATATGATTAATTACGATAAGAGAAAGACTACTCCAACATAGATGCAACGAACACATGAACACTGCAATTCTCTCTGTATCCACTCACCCAACTAGATACCTAGGTACACTCAACTACCTCCCCACGGAGTAGAATCAGAATCAGAATCAGAATCCACTAGGAGCAGGGAACCCGCCGGATCCACTCGGCATCGGTCCACTACCAGAGCCACCAGGGCCACCAGAGCCACCACCACCCATACCGCCGGAGTTCTCATTCTCAACACCGCCATTCTCGGTATAGTACGCCGCGGGGGTAACCTCACTATCCTGAGTGGCATCCATGCCCATCGAGATCCACGCAAAGATACCGTCCGACACGCTATCGCCCAGGAACACATACTCGACGAAGGGGTCGATCTCCTCCGCCTCCTGGGAGAGGATACCATCGTCGGCGTTCGTGGTCAGCTCCTGCGTGTTCGTCGAGTAGGGGGAGGTCTCCTCGACGGCTGAGATGAGGTCTTGGTCGAAGAAGAGCTGGCCGACGTGCGCGGAGTGCGCAGTGTACAGGCCCGAGATGGTGTTGTTGTTCTTGTTGACGGTGGTCTCGTTGAGGGCGTGGGCCAGCACTATCACAGAACTCGTTAGTTGGAAAGCAAAAGGAGGACAGAAGAGGGAGGGAGGGGCCTACCGTGGATATGAGTGGCGCGGCTGGTGTAGTGACCCGGGAAGATGGACTGGAACTGCACGATGCCGTCGGCGTCGGTCTTTTGCAGGCCGCGCAGGAAGGTGGCGTCGAGGTTTGTCTCGTCGTTGGCGTTACCGTTGCCGTTGGCGACGACGCCGGAGTAGACGCCCTTTGCCTTGTTAGTTGTGTCTGTTGGGATGGAGGGGGAGGGGGGTGCGTACGGTAGCGTTGCAGTGCCAGAGGTCCAGGTAGACGTCCGAGACGGGGTCGCAGGTGTTAGTGTCGATCATCTGGATGTCGAGGTAGAGCGGCACGCCCTCCTGGTCCTCGACGATGTTGGTGCGGATCAACTCGCCCGTCACATCTAGTCTATGTTAGTATTGGGTTGTTTAATGGGGTGGGTGGCGGGCACGCACAGTAAGGGCCTTGGGTGACGTCCGAGCCGAGGATG